CCTAGACCTCACTACCTGCATGAAGTTTGCATGTTCCCTATCCCTAAGAAGTGTTGCAAGCCCATTGAAGCAGGAAGTAAGATCTCTTGGCAATAAAGGGTTCCCTCACTTCTGTAAAAGTGGGGGGGACATCTTTTATCACATGGCAGTCTGGATGGAAGACATCTTCAATGCCTGGGTTCAGAATGCCATTACAAAATCTACAAACTATAGTTTAATTCCCTACCTTCTTCTCATTTCCTGCTATCAATTCTTCCCAAATCTCCTCAAAGGCAGGTGGATCTCTTCGCTGCCCTAAGTCAGTTCCTTTCCCAGGGGGTTGTATGCCACTTCCAGTGGATAAAATGTTTGAGGAGGTTTACTCAAACCTGTTCACTGTCGCCCTATCTTATACCTGAAGATTCTTAAACGGTTCCTGTGGATTCACAAGTTCAAAATGGAAACCACCCGTCATAGTCTCCCTTTTACCCTGGAGAATTCTTGGCCTAGGTGGACATCAAACATGTGTATTTACACATCCCCATTTTCCCTACCTACTGCCACTACATGCATTTTGTTGCGGGCAGCCAGCATTTTCATTTTGTTGCTAATAACTTTGATCTGTCCACGGCACCAAGGGTGGCTTGTTCACCAAGCTGGTGGCTCCTATCTGCGCTCCCAGGGGAACCACATAGGGGTCAGCATCAGCCCTGTCATCCAACATTCAGCAGATGCTACAGTGCTTTGGAAGGATCCTGAATCTCCAGAAATCAACACTGGAACTATTGCATAACTTGGAATACTTGGGCCTGGTCTTGGGCACAATGCTGTCTAGGGTCTTCCTGACACAGGAGAAGTTGCTGTCTCTCCGCTCCCACGTTTAGACCTTGTTGTCCAGGAAGTGCCTGACTACTTTTGCATGAAGTTCTGGACATGATTGTAGCCTTTTTGAAGAAATTCCCTTTGCTTAGTTTCAATCAAGGCCATGGCAGCTCAACATTCTAGCTGCATGGGACAAACAGGTTCGATCCCTGGATCTCACCATTTAACTGTCCAGCAAGACAAAGCTTGCACTGTTGTGGTGGATATCCAGTCTGGAGCTGGAATCAGGAAAGTCCTTCCTTTTGATGTCTTGGAAACTGGTTACAATAAATGCCACCCTGTTGGGCTGGGACGGAGTCCTGGAAGGGCTCTCGGTCAAGAAGACCTGCTCCTTGGAAGAATCATGACTCTCAATAAAAATCTAGCACTCATTTGCATACTCATCAGACCTGGATTCAGTCACACAACTATCAAGGAGGCACAAGAACTTACTCGGCTGTAAGAGAAGCTAGACCTATTCTGCTTTTGGTGGAACTTCAAGTTCCAGACTGTCCGGGGGTACACATTCCAGGTGTGGAAAATTGGCAGACGGAGGCCATGGTATATGGATATCGTCAAACTCCTGGTGGATTTTCTGTGGACATTCCTGGACCATCCAGACCTTCTGTCACAAGGACCAGTATGTCACCCTGCTTCTCATTTGCTAGATTTTAGGGATGCCCCGATACGGGTTTTTCAATATCAAGTATAAGTACCGATATTTATATTTCGGTACTCGCCGATACCGAGTACCGATACCGGTACTTCCGGTAGCATAGAGCCGGCTTCCCGGGCAATCAGGAAGCCAGGTGGCCCAAACAGATCTGACAATATGGTGACACAACCCCCACCCTGCAAGCACCTAATTCCCCTCACATAGATCCTTAGCAGCAGTCATTATCATACCAGTCCCTCGGCCAGCTGAGCAATCACCGCTCTCCAAGCTCTCACGAAACTGCCCACGTCTCCTGTCGGTACAGGGCCCATGTGATCGGCCCTCAGCCTGCTACTGCGCAGACTGCGCAGCGCTCTCATTCAGAAATCCTGTGCATGCGCAGTAGCAGGCTGAGGGCCGATCACGTGGGTGCTGTGCCATCAGGAGACGTGGGCAGATCCCAGAGAGCTTGGAGAGCGGTGTCTGCCCAGCTGACTGAAGGACTGGTACGGCAATGACTGCTGCTAAGGATCTATGTGAGGGATATGATTTGTCTGCAGGGTGGGGGTCGTGTCGCCATATTATTATATTTGCCCGTCTCGACACTGATTGGCTGGGAAGCCGGCTTCCTGGCCAATCAGCATCGAGCTGGCCGAACAGCATGGAGCCATCTTCCCGGCTCCATGTTCCTTCGCGGCACTGCCGGTCTTAGGAAATCTCCCTCTGACCGGAAGTTCCAGTATCAGGAAAGGTATCTGAGAATTTGGGGCGAGTACAAATACAAATACTCAGTTTTGGCACCAATACCGATACTAGTATTGGTGCATCCCTACTAGATTTAACAGCCTAGCTGTTGAAGCCCAGGTCCTGAATTACCGAGGTCTTTTCAAATCCTGTCATTTCTTTGCTCCTTAGGCCTCATTCACACCACTAAGAGCCGGCCCGTACAGAGCCGTGCGGCATGCCCGTACAGAGCTGTATCGGACCGCTCCCGGGAAGGACAGGTGCTGCGTGTGATTGCATGCATGTTATTTTATATATTTTTTATATATTATTATATATTATATTATAGCCTGTTATTCTCTATGGGAGTGCGCCGCCGTATGCTCACCCGAACTGCACATCTGTGCGGGTATAGGTGTCCGTGCTTGGACACAGACAGGATCCATCCTGTGTACGAGTACGGACACCCGCACGGATATGCAGTTCGGGTGAACGTACAGCAGCATACTCCCATAGAGAAGAACAGGCTGCTGCGTGCAATCACGCGCAGCACCTGTCCTTCCTGGGAGCGGCCTGATACAGTCGTGCACGCCGCACTGATCTGTACGGGCCAGCTCTTATTAGTGTAAATGAGGCCTTAAGGCTAGTATGTGGACCTCTGACATCTACCATCGCACGTGGAAGGGGTATTTTGCGTGGTGTGAGGCCATTCACTTCCTTTCACAACATTTTTATTAGAATATTACAAAATCAACAACAAAAATAAACAGTACCGTACAAATTAAGACATAGGACAGGGTACAGTGACAACTCCATCCATCCAACTGCATGAAGGCACCATTTAAGAGTGACAAAAGATATATAACCAGAACATAATCCATACTGTAATGTGCAGGTGTTGCAGGTGCTCCGATGACTTAGACATATTTATGCATATCCTTTTTGGACTAATATTTACTTAATGTACAATATATGTACACATGAGTAAAATAAGTATGTGCCACTTCTGACTGGTTACAGATCAAGGTCATTATTAATTTTAACATTAGCCTGTTGTTTAGTTTGTGACACGATCTTTAAAACCATTTGAATTTCTCCAAGGTTACAAAGCTGTTCACACTGAAAGTATTATAATGTGTCTATTCGACTTGGTCTTCATGGTAACAAAAGTATTTCTTTCTTTTCATTATAAAACATTATAAATCAACAAGCTTGAGTACATTGAGTAGATTTCAGAGAAGGATAGGTG